TTTTTTTATTGACCATGAAGATGGGCATGTTATATTATTCGCAACGGCCATATCATATGCGAACTGGCGAGTTGTTTTGGTGGATAGTCCATAGTTCATCTTAGATGCTTGCAGCAAATACTTTGCAAGCATCTCTTCTTGTTCTAAATTGAATACCTGCCTTGTATTCCAATTCGGTATCAAACCTACACTTGGACTGAGACTACTCTTCCGAACATATCGCTTCAATGTCATTCGGTCAATTCCAGTTTCACGTGCAACAGCATTGATAGCTCTGTTCTTTTTCAGAACTTCATCAACTGCTGTTCTCATCACTTCAACAGGTGTTTTACCTCGATTAGTTTTTCGCTCCCGATATCTCACCATTATGAAACCAAACCTGCAAAGTACACAAATTACATTTTACAATAATGGAAAAATAGCATTTTGCATGGTTAGAGAAAAATGACTAAACATCCTGGAAAATTATTATCTGAGGACAGTAGGGGCACTTTGATCTTCAGATCAACGTACCCCTTACTAGTACAGATCAAGGAGCCCCCATGGCATGGAGCACACTATAATGGCGATATCTCATCAATAAGTTGTGATTGAAAATCGAAGTAAATAATAAAATAAGCCTCTGACATATCTTTACACATTGCAAAATTTAATTTATCAAACAAATATTTATCTGATTTTTAATTTACAAAACTAACCTGTTGTGAATAGTTGGTTTTTCCCTGTAAAATCAAACTTACGAATTCTTCGAACTTCAGCGGCAGAAAGTCCATAAACAAATAGGATTAAAAGTAGAATAGAAACAAAAGGAAAACTAAAATAGTGATGGCCTACATTTATATTTAGAAATAGCTATGTTATTGCTTAAAGATCAATGTGCCCCAGAGATCAATGAGCCCCCATCTCCCCTATGCAAAAAAGCAGTGTACGACTTACACTAACTTGAAATGTTTGATGGTTCGAGCGGTTGCTGAATTTTCAGCTTTAGACCTTAAAATTAATTTGTGCTGCTAGCGGACAATCTTGCCGCTTGCATATGTGAATATTTGAAATTTTTTTTTTTTTGAAAAATTTAACGGCACTGCAGCTCCCAAGATGGCGCTATAATGTGCCAGTAATTTTAATATTTTTTTCTTAATTTTTATTTTATTTTTTTTTCATAGTTATGTAGTTATTTTTATTACATCTTCAAAATCAATCACAGTCGAAAAGGAAGAATCCGATCAAAATATATCAAAACATCAATCCAGAAAAATAAATGATAATCTTTGACTTAAGTATATTTTAAGAGGTAAGGTTGTAATAGTTTATTCCAGTCTTTTTAAGTTGACGGGTAACAGATTCAATAACCACACCATAGACCAGAAGCACCAGAAGTTGACGTCAGCACGAAGAGAGAAAACCCACCTACCGTTCGCAAGTCCCACAAACCAATGACTCTCACTCCAGTGCATTCACTCTACTTCAATAACGTTTTGACTATTTAAGTTCCTGGTATGTCGCTTGATTTTTCACCATGGAGGCCACCCACAGACGGCATTCGACACAAAATTGAAAAGATTATAAAGATTAAGGATAGAGTGGTCTGATTCTCTCTTAGCGGCACACGAGCCTCCACCATGGTATTTAGCCACTGTACATATGGACCTTGCACCTTGAGAGAAATGCAAAACTGAACAAATCCTCTCGAAGATATTAGAGTTTCCACTATGGTATTCAGCCAGAGCATATTTGAAAATAACAATTGAGCACAGCTAACAATCTAAACTACAATACATTCCATTTGCACAAAATTGTTGCGAAAGTTCAGGTTGTTTTTGTTCAACCAGATCAGAAATTATTTTTAAGCAATCTTTAAAAATCATATTTTGAATCATGTCTACATCAGTTTTTAGATTTGAAGAGTTTGTGAAATTTTGTTTTGTCATAGATATGTTGTCAGAAATGGTAGAAAAAGTAAACACAGAACAGAATATGGCTGCAAACATTTGTAAAAAGTGTAAAACTGACATTGAGAAGAAATTTGTTTGAGATAACTATAGACGATGTGTTTGATGAACTTTTGGGCGGCGTGTTTCGCAGCACGTGCAGCAACTGGGTTTGAATGACAAAAACATGCCCGCCTATCACAGGGTGTAATAGACCTTAACCTTTCCTGTTGTGGTTCAGGAACAACTTCAAAATTGATTATCAACGCTGTTTTGCCAAGTGCAGCAAACGGAAGTTTAATAACAAAATTTTTTAACTAACCAGCCTCATATGAAGAAACTGAATTTGCCACTGGCGGATCTAAATAACTTTGATGGAGAACCGAAATTTTTAAAATGTTTAAATTTTCACGGGGGGCTAATATTTGTGGCTAAGTGGCTGATGACCTTTTATTTTTCGCTTGTAGCGTTCATTTTTTGTTAATTTTTGACATAAAATTGTGCGTTTTTTGTTAAAACGATGAGGTTCAATTACTTTTATTGAAATACTAACTCCCCCGTAGATCGGCCACAGAGCACACGTAATCTCTTTGAGAAGTTTTAACAAATTGTACAATTACACATTATTAGAGAAACATAAAACATGTTTCGGGTGGTCTTAAGCGACCCCTGGTAATTCATTATTTGACCACCGATGGAGTAACGATCTACAGGTTGAGAGCCGCTACCTAGAGCAAGCGGAGACAATACTTTAATTTCCGCGATAAATTTTCATGATTCCTGCTTCGGAACTTCTCCAAATAGGAATGAGAATATTCCCTGACATTCAGAAAGATTTTCGATTCACAATTATATATCCATAATAAATGAATAAATAAATAAAATTATATATATATATATATAACAATATATAATATATAACACTCATGATGGTAAAGGTTACCGAAAAAAGCTTTTATGTAAATGTATATATGAAAAATGTAAATGTACATATATATATATATATATATATATATATATATATATATATATTGTATCTTTACTCTACTCTGTTGATTCCTTGTTTATTCAAAGTGAATACTTAACGCTCATTTATTGATTCGGCTAGTCGTAAATTATAATGGTTGTTATTGTAATGAATAATTTTGGCTTTGAACTCAAGAAACTTGAGAATGATTTACGATCAACCGTTAGAAAATTCGAAAAGTTAAATAGGAGGTTAACTAACGCCGAACATGCTGTAATTTTCATCGATAATAGCATTTCTGAGTTTTAATCCAAAAATATATATATATATATATATATCCATACATGTATTTATCTATATTTGCTTACATGCATATATATATATATATTATATAATTGAATATTAAGAGTGTTAGAAATGCAATTATTGATGAAAATCACAGCATGTTCCGCGTTAGTTAGTATGTTTAAATTTTTGATTTTTCAAACGGTGGATCGTAAATCATTGCCAAGTTTCTTGAGTTCAATACCAAAATTTTTATTTATTTTAAGCCCGACAGAACATTTAAGCATGATAGAACATAAAAGCTTCTTTCGGTATTCCTATACCATCTTCGGTGTTCGAATTGACACGTTGTGTATGTGGCCAAAGCTCAGATATATATATATATATATATATATATATATATATATATATATATATATATATATATATATATACTGTGTCTCTACAATGTTTATTCTTTGTTTATTTAATGTGAATACTTAACCTTAAAAAAAATTAAAAATCACGCATTGAGAAAAACCTGAGCTAAAAGTTTTTTGTAACGATGAAGAGAAATGTTGATGTTTTAGAAGACATTTAAATAAAATATGCAATATTTAAAGTCGGGGTGTGTAACACGTGATTGTTTGCAAAATAATTAAATGATACAAAAGAAAATCTTAAGTTATATTCACAAGCTTTAGAAAATAGTTTTAAAATTTGACAGACGTGTTTTATTAATGTTAAACCATAACGGTTATAACAACTACGCAACAAAACACTCTGACAGACATCATCTTGTTCCCAGCAGTGACTGTTTGGCTTCAACTTTTTCAAGCTTTTCAAAATGTTTTCTCCCATTGTGGATATTCATAAGCGTCATTACTGAAGCTGTTAATGAATTAATTTAAGTGACGCTACATTTAGTTTAATTTATATTGTCGTAACTTTGAACAGGCTCACATAATTTTCAGTGGAAAAATATTAAGTTTATTTACAAGCCACATTTGATTATACATAAAGTAATACAAAACAATTAGACAACTCAATTAAAAATAAATAGCTTACTGAGTTCAGGATCTGAGGTGACTACCATGACATAAGTGTTGGGTGTAAAGCTTTCTATGTAAGCAGCAAATTTGGAGTTTCGAACTTCTATGCTATTGAAAACAGCAGTTACTTTACTACAGCTGATTTTAAACTGTTTGATAATATTACTTATCTTTTCAAATCGTTGTGCATCTGGATGAGCTTTGCGTTCACAGTGGCATATTACCTGAAAAAGATAAATCAGCCTATACTGTGAATGTGAGCAATTTTTTCTTTTTCAAGTCTAAATCACAAATGTTTAATAGGTTCAAAGAAATATGCAACTTTATTCTTCAAGCATTAAAACTACCGAGACTTTGTAAATTAAAAATACACGTTTGTATTTGTAATAGAAAAAAAGTAAAAAACAAAATCTCGAATCATTATGAATTTGAAAAACGTTTGAGGCAAAATAGAAATATTAAAAAGAAAGGTAACAATCTTAAAAAACCTACTAGGAAAGTAGCTTTTTCAATAAGTAATATTTCATCTGCTTCAAGTACCTCAGCAAATTTCACCAAACTAGATTCAATTTGATTAATATTAGGAATTAACTGATATACAATGGTAGACCATGCTTTGTACAATGTCTCATCCCAGATTGATGTTGCAAAACAGACACATTTCATAGGTGCCGAATTTTGAATTAAGATATTCTTTCGTTCATCAAATAACTATGATCAAATATCAAAACTAAAATTAAATTATACAGTTTAGTCAACAATAAAAATCAATAGAAAAATAATTTCCTTCTACTTACGGCTTGTTGTTGATCGAGAGGTATTAAATCCATTTTGTGAACTAAGCAAAATATTTTAGCTTCAGGCGAATTTTGCCGAAGAGCATCTAAACATGCTTTGTAATTCTCCAAGTCTTTCTCAAGTTCTCGACTTTCAACATCAAAGACATAAATGAGAACTTCAACGCTCTTGAATATGTTGTCACGTTGGTTAGATATGAAGCTCTCCATGAATGCTTCTTGTCCACCACAATCCCACAAATTCAAAATTAGGTTTCCAAGAAACCTTACATGTGCATGTTCAACATCAACTGTTTAAAAATGAAAGCAATTAATCAGTGAAATGTAAAATATGTGAAATGTAAAAAAAAACTGTAAAAACCATTTTTATTTAAGTATGAAAATGAAATATCAAATTATTACATTGATTAAGAAAGCTGAAGAGTCTATGCTTTAAATTTTTTTTATGCAGAAGTTACCTTAACCAACCAACAATTATGAATTTGATGACCTCCCAGATATAATAAACTACAAAATTAAATGCATACTTTCATAGAGCTGATTATTAGTTTTCGCATAATACACTTTCAGCATTTGGTCCTAACATTATAAGAAACCAAATTGTTGTAAATGTTTAAACACATGAACGAGCATCCTATAACTAAACTCAAATCGTTAAAATTTTTAGGTTTAACCACAAGCTGACTTCTCATAGTACTCAACTACAAGACCAATGTTTCTTATTATAACCTACCCATCTTGAGCTATGTTGTTCATGTGTAATTCATTACTTTTCCCTTATTTGATTTATTGAAATCTGAACAGAGCAACAGCCTTCATTGTCATTTGTTATTACTTTTCAAATGTCAAAATCATTTTCTTCGTCTTCTTTCATATAAAACAGTTTGATCTCATTAATCAGTTTTTTGTTTTCTAAAATTTCAACTACAAAACATTTATATACTCTTCATTTAGTTTTATTTTTCTACAATTGCCAAGATCTACAAAAACATTCAGAACAACAGATACTTTAAGATAGCAAAATCAATTTTAAATGCCAATTTTTAAAACCAAAGTTTTTTGCAACAGTGCTTTAATGTCTGGTGTAAGAATATGGAATGTCCAATCATACAAAATTTCTTTTTTAAACTAAAAATCTAAATTTTGAAATCTAAAAAAATCTGATTTTTCATGAACTTTGCTATCTGTTGCTTAATTTTTAATTTTCAGCCATTATGTCCGCTCTTATTTTATTTTTAGTCTATTATATCTATTGGATGTAGTCAACAATCAAATGCATTTGTAAATTGTGTACTTTTAATATTTTTATTTGTATTTTTAACTTGACTTATTATTAATCTCAAGTTTGTTTTTATTTATCAACTTATAGATTTAAATAGTTCAACAAAATATTTTTAAAATTTGTTTCCATTTTAAATTTGATTAGGCTTTACCCACATTTCTACTATTGAAATAATGGTAGTTTTAATTAAATTGTAAAAAAAACTTGGTTATGATGATTGTTAGTCTATAAAAGTCACTATAAACCTTCCACACAGTAGCAGGACAAATCTTGAGCATTTGTATTGCTCATTCATTTATGATATGAATTTTAAATAATTATTAAACATAAAATTAAGATGAAATGACTAATGTCTTACTGCTCCATGCTTATGCTCTTGTTTACATGGGGTCAAGATTTAATTAAATCAATTCAGAGTTCCTGAACATTCAACAACAACCTCCAATATCCAAATTGTCATAAATGTGCCATAGTGGACATTTCCACAACGAAAGTAAGCTCATAAATTTTAATTAAATTTTAAACCCTCCTTAAAACCTTTTTTTAACAAATTTAAAAGCCCAAAAGACATGTACACAAGATATACGTGGAATGTGACGTTACTTGTAGCGCCTAATCTCCGAGTATCTTTGGCGATGAAATTTGCGAAGATGATGGATCTCATGCTGGTCTTTCCTGCTCCACTTTTTCCCATTAACAAAACCTAAAATTTGCAAAATATGAATATGAACAACTCGTAAGAGTCAAAGATTTAGAACAAATTAAACGAAGTTTTTCATCTAATACGAACTTTCTTCTTTGTCGTCATTTTTCTTAGCAAAGGCAATAAAACACAAACTTTTTAAATTTTGAGCATTTAAATTAAAACATCAAAAGAAACTTTTTACTCGAAATGTGACAAGCATAGAACAGAAATTTAAATGACTATATCTTTGCTTCTTTCTTATCTGTGAATGTAAAACTTAATATTATTATAATTTTAATATTTTACTCTATATATGACGTAAAACCTACACATATAATACATTTAAAAGCCATGTATAATTCATATACATTAAATAAAAAAATTTGGGACATCCTATATAAAAATTAGTGGTCGGACTAAGCTGTCTGTGTAGTCTCATGACAATGTGCACTTTTTAGCCTTGGAACTCTTTTAGGAATTAAACTATAACACTTTATCCAAATGTTAGAAGCATATATCTTGATTCAACATATATGGATTAT